TGTAAAACCATAAGTTACTTGTTATTCTAATTCTTACAGTATTTTGTCAAGTATTTGTAGAACAGCCAATTAGCAACAGTTCAGTTAGCTACAGGTGAGTCACTTGACGTGTCGAAACGACATTGGCATTGGTATGCATATACAACTTCACATGTATTCTAGCATATTCATTTAAATATATTGATTTTAATACATAAACATAACCATCAAAAACAAGAAGGCCTAGGTGTATATTTGTGCATTGATGCTAAAGACTTGCAGTTGATAAAGAGTTTTGAAATTTCCTGGTACATCGTTGGATATTCATTAACATTTTATGCAATTCATTATGTAATACTTCTTACTTTTTGCTTTGCTGTTATAATATCAACTTTAATTGGTAGCTACAAAGGAGGATACAAAAAATACAAGTTAATCACATATAAAAATATAGATACAAATATCAGAGTGCTGTTGCTTGCTTATAAGAAGATATTGTACTCACCTTTTTTGGTATATTGAATCGGAACATAAGAAATACAGCAAACGTGTCACTGGCTACTTAATCTTACATTAAAGACATGCTCTAGATATCATAGATGTTTTAAATCTTTAAGCAATAGAACCGGATCATAAACTATATAAGTCAGTATGTGAAAATATACAAAATTACATAAATGCAAAATTGAATCATTCTTCCTGTCTTTATTTAACAAGAAAAAATATAGTGATAAACTAGAAAGGCCAATATTTGCTTTGGAGCAAATACAGCGATGGGTTCACCACATTTTACGACATGGCAGGGAAAGAATGAGAAACACAAGGGAAAACAATGATTTACATTGATATAACTATAATATGAAGTAAAATACAACTAAAACAACAGTTGGATAGCTATTCCCTACTTTATTGGTTAGGATTTTTAATTGCATAATGCAAACTGTTGATTTTCAAATAAAAAAAAACGTCCATGCCCGGCATTCCAATGCTGGAGCAGGAAAGCTTGAAATACCTACCAAAACACTTGAATACAGACATACTGTCAGTATGGAAATGCTTCTGTGCAGGTGTTAATCAAGTTAAATCCCAACAGCCAATCAGCAAGAAGTATAGAGGAAAGCTGCATGCCTATTGGTTGATGCCCTGCATTCCATTGTGATGACTCATGCCCAAACGTGGTAAACAAGGCACACTAACACAGTAATACATTAGCTATAACACAGCCAAAAAACTCAAATAAAACCATTCTAAAAGCCTGTATCACAATAATTTAAAAAACGCCTAGGGGTATTTGCCCACTGTACCTCCATACCAAATTTCAGGACCTTGGGCCCTAAAATGAAGAAGCTGAATCCATTTAAAAAATGGCAGGAGAAGGAGAAGAAACATCAGAAAAAGCAATATGTGGTGTGGTGAACCCATAATGATGATGTGCTACTGTCGTTTTGTTAGGAAATCTGGACAAAAACGGCAGCCATTGTCCGATGTTGACCATCCCATTGCAACCTGTTTATTATTTTCTATCCTAATTCTAGTAATTCCTGCTTTTATGGTATTTGCCTTCATAATAGTCGTTAGTCCGTTCTTTGCTATCGGGGCCGGCCTGTGTTTGTTCCTGATTATTGTACTATCCTACCTGGTATGTTACTGTAAAAAACAAGAAACGATTAAGAAGAACAACCGGCGGAACAAACAAACACAGGTATGGGATTCAAATATTTTGTTTCTTTAGAGTGCTAAATCTTATATTATAAAGCCTTACACAAATATTTTATATGTTTTAACTAGATTTTATCAAAAAGTTCTGATTACCTTCTCAGTTCTTGCATTCTCGAATTTCTTTTTATTTTAGGACCAGAATACCCCTTCTGAGACTGACACTACTGGCAAGATTGCAGCAACCATTTCATCCGGGCCAACACTACCTCTCGGCGGGCAACCACCCCCTCCGGGACAATACCTCCGAGCGGACAGACAACCACCCCCTCCGGGACAATTCCTCCGAGCGTACAGGCAACCACCCCCTCCGGGACAATACCTCCGAGCG